TAACCCCCCCCCCTTCCCATTTCGAGCCATTTCCCCTTCTTCTGTCATTAACTGTCCTTATGAAAAGTCCTTCCCCAGCCTTCCTGTAGCCCCTTCAGGTACTGGGAGGCCACTAGAAGGTCTCCCCGGAGCCTTCTCTTCTCCAGGCTGAACAGCCCCAACTCTCTCAGCCTGTCCTCACGGCAGAGCTGCTCCAGCCCTCGGATCATCCTGGTGGCCCTTCTCTGGACTTGTTCTAACTGGTCCCTGTCTTTCTTGTGCTGGGGGCTCCAAAACTGGACACAGTGCTCCAGGTGGGGTCTTACGAGAGCAGAGTAGAGGGGGAGAATCCCCTCCCTCAACCTGCTGGCCACATACATATAAAGACATGTATGAAAACACAAACACAGTTCTGCTGTCTTCCACCATATCTGATTTCAACTCTCATGGTGTCTGTAGATGCAGGAAAGGGAGCATGATCCTCACTGACCAAACATGATCAGCTCAAGGCAGGTGAGCCCAAAGCTTATTCTGACTGTGCCTGCTGCCTGCACCACCACCAGTCCTACTCCAAACTTTCCTCTGAAAACAAGTCTAACCTTTGGATGATATCAACCATGGCTTCACTTCTTTCACTGACATGAGCACTATTTTCTTCCTAGGGAAGTGAGCTGGTTGAATTCATACCTATCTTACCATCAATGTTACGTTATCAAGTATATTGCACTGCCCATCTGCAAGACACAGTATCTACTTCACCCATTAATTAGCACTCCCAACTCTGTGAAGAGACAAGCACCAACCCCATTTTCATGGTGGGGAAGGAACTAAGGAGAGGAAAGGCAATATTCATCTGCTATTACAAAGAAAATCAGTCCAAAATAGAAAGAATGAGAGCTAAGATGTCCGCTGGCCTGGGACCAACGCATACAACCCCTGTCTCCCCTCCCAACTCCCTCACCCCAAGGCACCCGCGCAAGGAACATTAAACAGTCTAGAATTAAATGCTTTACGTGTGCAATATGAATCCACTTCTCAACGATCTTGGCTCTTTGCTGTGTTTTCATTTCTCTGTTCTCCAGGATAGTGCTGATAACACATCTGGTAACTGCATTGAACTGGGAGATGGTGGCTCTGATGGTAGGAGCCAGGTGCTTGTTTTCTTTCTTATCCCGTTGAGACCAGATGGATCCCAAGCAGTGGTAAGGCACAACTTTCTTGAAGAGTTCCTAGAGTGAAATAGAGGTGTACAAGTCAGCAGGATTCTCCTAAATCTCTGTTGCCCAGAAGAAGAAACGCACGTCACAGAATCACAGAATTGCCTAGATGGGAAAAGACCTTTGGGATCTAAATCTAATATGGTATTAAAAGGTAAATATTTGGTTTATCTTAGTTTAAAATATACACTTTGGCATATTCTTTATAGGCTTGATGCCCTAAAAGAACTGTCAGCTAAATAGACCTAGGAAAATGAGACACCTTTATATCAGTTGCAGTACCAAGGGGAAAAAAAAAATATATATATAATGATATTTTGAAGGAGACTGATACAGACAAACCAAATCAGAGCACTACAGTTAAGAGTACTTATACATCTTTAGGTCTGGTAGCAACATAGTCAAAATGTGCTATTTCTCAGGTGTCAAATATTAAACTTTGCAAAAAAGGTTACACAGCATATATTTGCACTTTAAAAAAAAAAAAACCAACCCAAACAACCCCCCACCCCCCAAAAAAAAAAACCCCACAACAAAATCAACAACCCACAACCTTCAGAACGACAGAAGGAAAAAGTGCTATGAACGAAGCAAGTTTGGATAACCAAGCAGAGCTGTGTTCTGTGTCCCAACAGACCTGTTCTGGAGCACTATATTTATAATTATATAACTTTAAAAAAATTTAGAAGCCCAGCACACTTTCCCCTAGCATTTCAAGTAGTACGTATGCTCTACATACTGCATCCATGTATGTCAACTGTTCTGCCACAAGGTCTTCTTGGAAAAAAGAGAAATCTTCTAGATTGCTGTTCTCTAGTTCCTCTTCATCACATGGGTTACAGGTGGGATTGTTAAGGAATCCATCTGTCCAGGACAGAAAACATGACTTATTAAATTTATACAGCTAACAATAAGTAAACTTACAACAAGTAAATTTATACATCTAAGCAGATGTTTATTTTAAAATATCACAGTGAGTATTACAGCACAATGCCCAAAGGTTCCTGCCCGATGTAATGGTCCTACTGCTGCATATTTTAGTGAGAAAGATGATGAACAGAAGATTAAATTGACAAAGAAAAGGTGGAAGAACAAGAAATAAGAGTTAGAGAGAACTGAGCTGTTCAGGGTCTCTTAGCTGAGAGGTGGTTTAACCCATCTTAACCCATCCCAACAAAATTCCCTTATTAACATTGCAGAATTTTGTTAATCTACTTTCCAGTATTTATGTATTAATAAATGCTGGAGAAAAAAAAAAATATCAAACTGCAAAGGGCCAAGATTGCAGTTATATCCCAAAAATATTGCATTAGTAATGCTCTTCTAGCCAGATTTCATCTCCCATGTGTGGAAATAAAAGGAGATACTGTATTTTCTTGGCACCATTTGTGCTTTCACCGAGCTATATGGACTATATTGAAGAGGGTTTATTCCAGCATTCCTCACCTTCCCTCTCTGGGAATTTTTTCCCAGAAAAGGGAATACCATGAGCACCTACAGCATTCTGCTGCTTCTAAATTTGCACTGAGCAGCAGTGAAGAGGTGAGAGAGGAGAGCTGTCCTCATCAAGGGACCCAATCCAGCATGGAAGTGATTTCACAGATGTTACCATGTCACCTTTTGGCTCCCACAGGGTTGGGAACAAAGCCACATTAAAACACAAAGAAATATGCCCTTGTTTCCCATGGTAGAGAAAGTCAAACAGAAAATCCTTGAAAATAAATCCTCTTCCTAATCCCTTTTACTGTAAGGCGACAGTAACTCCAAAAGAAGGGAGAAAAAAAAAAAAAAATCAAATGGGACTTGTTGAAGACTAACAAGGAAAGTACTGAGTTCACCACTAGTGAGATTTCATTACCAAAAACAAGCAGTGCATTTCAGAGTACGTTGTGCAACACTTCATATCCTATTAAAGCACAGCAGACATTAAAGCAACAACAGCAGGTAAAGTGATACTTCATCATAATTTTCCAAAATACTTTGGTTTGCCTTTCTTCATTAATTAGCCAAACCTGCTCATCAGTGTAAACTGCTACAGTTTCGATGTAACAAATTCTAACTACAGATTTCCATCCGTACATTCCAATTGCACAATTTATTGACAGAGCTGAACGCGATAAACGGAGACCTCTGTTCCAGCATTATTTTTCTGGGGCTGTTTTGTAACAATACACACAATTAAATGGACTTCTGTTGAACTGTTACAAGAGTCACATTTTTGTCTCTCTCTATGTAACTCCTCATTTTCCTTTCAGCTCTTGAAAGTCAACTGGAAATCCTTATCACCGAGTTGCAATCCTTCTCAAAACCAAGCACCCTTCAAATCAGGTCCTGGAGTGCAAGTCAAGATTTTCCTTTTCTTTCTTTTTTTTAATGCCTTTTTCTCCTTTCTCTCTCACCTCCATAAATGTGTAACCAGTTTTCTCCCTACTCCCTAACAAGCTGGAATCCTCTTGTACTCAAGTATCTCATCATTTTCAAATCACTCTGATCCATTTAGTCCTCTCAAAGCCCAACTGCCCTCTTGACTTCAGTGAGAGCAACCACGCGCCCCTTCTGAATTTGCAGAATTCTCTGACTCACCCCTCACTTTGAATTGCTCAAGCTGCAAGAACTGAGGCCAGGAACAGTTTTTATTATCTATCTATCTGGTGCTACAATCTAATCTACTGGCCTGGCTGATGGCAGCACTGAATGGAGGTCTGATTACACCAATCACACTGTAGGATTAGGACCAAAAATTGTAAATTCATGGCACAATGGGAATGCTTTAGAACAATAATTATCAGCAAGTCTTGACTGCAGACAACACATTAAGAGTTTTGAAAGAAATCTTTGAATTGAGCAAAGATGGAGCTCTGATGAAGTAACTGACAACTCTCAAACTTTTCTCTGCAGACTCCACAGGTTAATTGCATTCTCCTCTTATTTTATTCTATTAACAGCCTCTATTCTACCACAATTTGGAAAATGTTTTCAAATTGACCACCTGTTATAACTCAGAAAAGAACCTTTTCAGCTGTTACTTGAGGAAACAAATGCAGAAGCAGTGCTACTGGGAACTTCTTCTCACTTTGAACAACAGAGGAACCCAAATATAGCTCTGGTGAGCCTCCTCTGTTTGACCTGTGGGAACCAAACCCAGGAAAGGACATCAATAGGCACATATTAGCAATCCTGCTCGTTTACCTGCGTTCAGTAAGGAAAACGCCCGGGCTCTGTGCAGTTCTCCTTTTTATGTGTGTGTTAATGACCGAGTTAATTTGGCATTTCACAGTATTATGCATTGACATGGTATTTCTGGAACATCCGGCAGACATGATTTTTTTTTATGGGATGAAATGGGTTGTTTTGTTGGGTTTTTTTTCCCTGTCATTTCCTTTCTCCTTTATGACACAAATTCCTCCCTCTCACCCCTCTACCAAAGCTGGAAGTTGATTCTAGTTCTCATTCACATACTACGTGAGCTGCTATGATTTTTTCAGCTTATGCCACAGGAAGCTTTCAGACCAGGATAAGGGTATGTGTCAGGCCTGACGCTGCACACAGCATATTTGTGTTACTACAGTTCACTATTGTTTCAGTAGATTGTGACCCCCAATAACGTAAGTTTTTCCTCTGTCCTTGGATACCAGCAGCCGGCCACTCAAATAGGAAAAAACAGCCACAGACACTTCCTTTGACATGATGGTAACTAGGAAGAAAAGCTTCATGACAACACGGCTTGTGACTCAAGCTGTATTTTGTGGCAGCTCTGCATTTTGCTTTTTGTTGGTCTGAGCTTTTCTTGGGGAAAGGGGGTTGAAATGAGAAGACCAGCTAAAGAGCAGCTGTGTGTTTTAACTCAATGACATGGGAAGTGCGCTGACAATTAACTGCTTAGCTGCTGCAGCAATCTCAAAGCTTTGGCTAAAATTAGGGAAGTGCTGGATTTCTCAGTCCATCCAAGAATAAACAGGCATAGGCACCTACACTGTAAGACTATTTCATCCCACACAGCTTCATACAGAGATTTTTTTTTTAAGAAACAAGAGAAAAGGCACTGATGAGCCTCACCGTATTGTCAATTAACACGAGAGTTGATGAAATGTACTCCACATAAATCCTTGTGGTACCATACAGTCTAGGAGAACAGGAAGACAGGAGGGAAAGGTAACTTACCTTTGTTTTCCAATTCTTGGTTCTGGAACTGCTCGAGGAGGTTCTGAGCCCTCCTCTCTGGGTCTGAGCCAGGTATATTCATCTTCAGGTAATCCAGCAACTTCAGCAAACATGGGTACTCAGGTGGCTCTTTGAAATCCTCAGAGCACTGATCAAGCCAGGCTCGTAAGATTGATGCTATTGCACTAAGAGCAAATACAGAAAGAACACATGGGTTGCAGACAGCATGTATTGATGCAATCGTGTGTATCTGCATCTAATACAACAATAAAAACACCGAGACGTTCATACCCCACGTGAAGGCAGAGTGAAGACATTTTGAGCAAGGAATTTAATTTGTTCTTTTTAGGCATGGAATCTTATTAAGATATCACTCAGGTTTTGTCAGGGACTTCAGTCACCAAACCTCTCTAACCATAGGTATCTGGTTAGAGACCAGATGCGTCAGCTCCAAGAGCATCTGTGCTCTATGTCCTGGACAACCAGGAATTTGGCTTTTAAAGTTCAAATCCTCAAATCCTATGATTCTATGAAAACACAGCTGTAGTGGCTCCGGGTATGTCATGTTAATAGCTGCAAAATGGAAAGGGACAAGCATGCCAATTTATGAGATCATGAGAGGAGTTCAAATATGATCATAGATTTCCCATGTAGACAACGAGGAACCCAAAAGCCAACCTAGAAAGCTCTCATATCAGAGCTGTGTACAAATCCTGGCACATTTGCTCTGCGAGTAGGGAAACCAGAGCAATATCTGATTAACTCAGCTGCTCAGCGGCACTCAAAATAAACCAATAGTTAAGAAGGGTAAAGATAGTTTCTCCCACTCTCCTTGTCTCATCTGAACCATATTGGGTTTTCCTCAAAACTCAATTAACTTTTAATCCCATTTTACAAGTCCTATCCATTTTAATCTGTTGTTCCTTCTGTTTCTTTCTCTGATACTGCGGCAATTTTGGATTTCTAATTACAGTATTTGGAAATCTGTCAGTAATACTGTTTGGTTAGGCTTGCTGACAGGAGAAAAAACTGCAATTAGGATTTTAGAGCTACAAAAAGTATTTACAACCAAAAATTAATATGCAAACACCATCTGGATTTCAGGTTCCATTGCAAACATGGAACACAGATCGCTGCGCTTGGAAAACTCTTTGCGTTTATAAAATGTTTTGGACCGAATTTTCACGACTCTGCTCAGACAGGCTTCCATTATACAGGTGACAAGTAAGGTCTTCATGGTTTAGGTCAGTGGTGGCCAAACTTTTTATATGGAGCTTCAGGACCATTTTTCTCAGTCAGGACAGACATCACACAACAGCCAGAGCTCCACCACCACCGCTGTGGTGAAGCCAACAGCACCAGCCCAGCTCCACAACCCAAGGGCCAAGAAAGGCCACAAGGAGAGATGCCCACAGCGATGCTCCCATGCTCTTGCTTCGGTGTCCCCTCTCCTCACGTTTTCAATTGTCCCCTCTAGCCCTGCACATATGCAGAACACTGTGTCACAGCAGTGCTTGCAGTCCCAAGTACCACTCTATGTCCACAGTATTTTCATTTCTTTTCCATCACAAGCCGGGGAATGCTGTGCCTCACCATATCCTAATCATGTATTTCCTGCTGCTCTGTGCTCCTTTTCCCCACCCACATCACAAACTCACCATCATCCCTAGTGGCTCCACCACCAAAAGCTAGGTTGGGTATTATTTTCTTATGAGCATTTACCAGTTCAGCAATGATTTGGAAGAAGGAGCCTCTCCACAGGATAAGTTCTTGTACTAATATTTTTCACACACTCTTTATACTAAGCTCAGTTTCCAGAGGCTTGGTTGATGGCCACTTTCAAAAGCTGAAGAATAAACAGATTTTAAGACAGACCCAGTCTCCCAGAACAGGGTGAAGAGTTCACAGCCGTTACAGACACTGATTTTTGCCAGCAAAATCATTTCAGTCAAGAGGGGAAATAGGAAAGAGAAAAAAGGTACACGGTGCCTTACTGACCTCCTATCGCCTGACTGTTTAATTGGTGTGTCGGGGGGGGAAGCTTTCTGAAAACGGGCTGGAGAATTGCCCGTATCTTGCAGTAGCCTTACATTTGCTGCCCTTGAGAAGAAACTCCCTGTACTCAACAGACCCAGAGACAGATAGGAACAGGAGCCTTCCAAGATCTCAGACAGGAATGAAACATCACAGACTACATTTTTCATGAGTTGATTATGAGCTATAAATTTTTCCTTTCCTGCCTATAAGAAAAAAAAAAACTTCTGAATGCTTAACTCTTGTCCTGCCAACCACAGACTCTGGGCTCTGGTCAGCAATGCTTTCAAGTTTCACTCCTTCCATAAAGTCTTCTCATTTCTGAACCAGCTTTGCTTGAAGCCTATCTCTGAAGGTTTCAGTTTCCAAAATTTATCTACTGTTAAGTGGAAGGAACATATCTGATTCTGTCATTTACAAACTGGGAACACAGAACTGCTCATCCACTCACATTTGCCCATGAGCTACCACAAAATGTGACGAGTCTAACATCTCTGCTAAGCTGAGCTGGCGGGGCATAGGGGAGGTGGAAAATGAGGCCTTCATATCACATAGCCACAAGTGATTCAATAGGTTACATGGAAATTCTGCGTAGCCTTTTCTCAACTGGGAAGACAGCTATAACACTGGTCCTGAAGAGGTCTGCGTAGGAATTAAAGAGATCATTTCTTGCCAGAAAGGCAAAAGCAGTGTTTTCTTTCCCACCACAATTATTTCTTAAGAATAAGCAGAAGAGAATCTCAACAATTAAAGAGAATGAGAACCTCAGTTGCAAAAAGAGACTAAATGACTGATTTCTTATTAAATTAGACAAGAACATGCACAAAACTGTCTGTAATTTGCCAAATGCATACTTAAGACCATCAATGGAATCATCCCTTACAGAGGGCTGTTCCTTCTCTTCCACTTCCCATGCAGTAGCTTTCAGGCTTGCTCACACGGATTAAATGAAACCAGCTGCATTTTCTCAGTTTTGCTTGTTGAATTCCAACATGGGCAGTTAAATCTCAGCTCTGACTCAGGGGTAAATGCAGGCAAACTGCAAGCAAAGGTTGATATAAGGGTAGCTTCTCACACCCAGTCCATTTATAAATAATGCACTGATGACTTCCAGCAAATGATCTGCTCTTCTTTTGATTTGGGAAGAAGTGGTTGAATAGCATACAGGGGGGCTTTTGTTGGAACACATGTAAAGTCACTAAGGGAGTAGCTCTGCTAGTTGTTCTTTGTGTTAATGGAGATGCCAATCATTATTTTTCTTTGCTCTTCTAATTATTCTTTTCTGTTTGGTTCTGGTTGTTTTCATAACTCTCCCACTCTTCCATTGCTTATACTGCCCTGCGTTTGACTCCGCTTCTCATGTAACCACATTGGTTTCTGCTGTTGTTTTAGCTTAATTGGCTTTACTGGAATGAATGCTGATTGTTGCTCTCCCAAATGCATCTTAACTGCTTCCCACCATGGATTTCCCAGGCAGCAAAAATTTCCAGCCAATTTTCTTCCATTTGTCTCACATTCCTTTGGTGTCTGTTCTCCTGGAGTACAAGGTTTCAGGACCAGTTTTATTTCTGCAGTACTGTGACTGCACATTGTTTTCCAGCAGGAACTGTTAACTTCAGTAGGAAACAAATTATAAAGTTTTCTATCAGGGAGGTCTAAATGCACAAGAAGCCACGGGACAATGTTTGTTTATTACTGTGAGAAACTCCAAATGTTGCAGTATTATTTTGAAGGTCTCAGTATTTGCTATTTTAATGCAGAAGAGGAGGGATAAACATGCAAGACATGCCACGTGGTAACTGAATAGTTCCTTAATTTTCTTTGAGCTGTTTTACCCAGTGGAATGAAACAAAGATATTTCAGTTGAGCTCCGAGTTGCTTTGTCTGCGGTTTTCAATCGCGCCACATTCCAAGTTTTAGTAACAAATAAATTCCACATTTTGATAATAAAACAGATGCAACAAGGAGCTGACATTCAAGACAACAAAAAAAGCCCCAAATATTTTGATTCATTTCTGTGGCCTGTCATTCATCTGAGGGAGAGCACCACCAATCTACTCCAAATCAGCAAAGCAAAAGTAGTAGCAAAAGGAAACCACAACCTTATACTCCAAGAGGAGGCTTGAAAGGACTTTTACTGTTACTCAAGTTCATTTAGGATTTAAAAGCCTCAGGACTCAGCTGTGGTGGTGCTTGGGACTGCAGAAGAGAAGAGTTTGAGGGCTTAAAGCTATTTATTTTTTGTACCACATAAACTGTTCCTGCTTCTCATTCAGCTGGTCCAACTCCAGTAAGAATCTTCCCTTTTACAGCACTGGGGATGGTGAGTATACAATGGAGCCAGGAAAAAAACCCAAAGATAATTAAAATCCCCATTGAAAGCACATATTGCAACCAGAGACCAGTTTTCCAGTTCTACCACATTCTCTTTAGTATCCTTGAGAAATATCACCTAAACTGGGATCTATAACAGCTCTTAAACTTCCTTTGGTTTCATCAGGAGAGATGTAAATGAACAGATCAGAACGCGGCTCACTGCTTGCGGCACAGCATTTCCTTTTCAGCACCTTTGCCCTGGCTGTGGAGGCTCTTAGTAGCTACAAACACAAGAGTTATTTCTACATACAGGGGGATACTCCCATTTTACCCTCTCCCCATTATATTTACCAACATGTCTAAAGGGTATCTTTAATTAAAATGTACCAATGTTAAACCTCTGGAAAGCAAACAGACAAAAAATTATGGTCCAAGTCCATGGGCCAATACAGCAACGTTCTCTGCCTCTTGAAAAACCTCTCCCACAGGTAATTTCAGGTTTGTACTACTATATTTTTAAGCAAGGTCTTCAAGTAAATAGATTCAGTTAACATTAAACTAGCCTTCCCTGAACACAAACATTGCAGGCAAGCCTGTACTGCCAGCCTGGATATTTTTGTGTGTGCTGAACAGGAATGAATCACTTCTGGGAACTTCACCAACAGAAATCTTTAAAACTCACGACAACAAGCTCAGCACCTTTTAACCATGAAGTGTGATGTGCTGCATCAGCTGTCCAGGTCCCACAAGCCCAGCAAGTCACCTCAGTGACATGGCCTCAGCACAGTTTCAGACCCTCACATTGCCCAGAGGCATCTCAATATCCATCTCAATG